GGACCTTACACTTGCAAGGCAGGCAGCGGCACCACTGAGTTTAAAACCCCGGCCCCTAGCCGTATACATTTTGATTTGTAGTTTTTTTGTTGTTGTTGTTGTTGCTGACTTGTAGGCATTTTGTGATTTGTATTTTGAGTTTTTGTTTTTCCCTCGGTGTTTGGAGACAGAGACTCACTTTGTAGCACAAGCTAGCCTCCAACTCAATATGTAGCCCAGACTGGCCTTGAACTCATGTCCTCCTCTCAGTCTCCTAAGTGCTAGCTGGGATTATGGATGTGCATCACCATGGTTGGCTTGACTTTTTTGACCCATGATTTATTGACTTTTAAGTTTCAAACCTAAAGATTGGGGGCCGGGATTTAGCTCAGTGGTTCTGCTGTCTGCCTCAGAAGTGTAAGGTCCTGAGTTTGATCCCTAGTACCAAAACACAAAACAAAACATAAAAAATGAAGGAAACCTAAAGGTTAGGGGAGGGACTACTTTTTTTCTTTCTTCCTCATAGAATTTTTAGGATTAAAGATACTATACAAAAGCAGATATTAGGTGTTTAATAAGTATTTTTTCCCCCCCCCCCCCCGTGGTGCTGATGATCAAACCCAGGGTCTGGCTCATGCTAGGCAAGTGCCCTACCACTAAGATACACTGAATCCTTGCTTTTGACATTAGAACAGAAAACATAAAGTTGCCAGTAAGTTTGGGTAATGCTAAAAAGACTTCAGTTCTCCATTATAAAGTAATAAGGAAATGAAGTGCTATAGAAAATAAAGGGGAGATGATTAAAAAAGGGTAAAATTGGAAGGAATGGAGGGGAAGGGCAGCTGGAGAAGAAGCAGGGATATGAGTTAATTCTAGTTGTCTTTGAAGAAATATTTTAGATCACTTTACTCCATGGGCTTATTATGATATTGTTATATTATTTTAAATTATATTTCTTATATCTGTACAATGAAAGTATGTATAGATGACCTTTTCTTTGGGAGAACTGGTTAGGTACATGAGGTAAAACTGTATGGCTAAAGTCTGTGTGGTTTTGAGGAAAGGCACTATACTTTCTTTATCATCTTAGAGAACATTGATCCTTAAAAAGTTAAGACATTAGACTTATGTTGATTTTGAGCCCAGGGCCTTTGCATTGGTAGTTATATCTCTAGGTGTCTCATCCCTCTTTTTTGAGAGAATCTTGCCAAGTCACTAAATTGCCCAGGCTGGGCTTGAATTTGTGATCCTCCTGCTTTCAGGCTCTGAGAGTGCTGGAATTACAGGTGTGTACCACCACCACCTCAATTTAGAACCTTTACTTTGCAAACTTTACAGGTAGGATAATTTGAAAGCCTAATAAGGAAAACTTGTACTAGGGCCGGGGATTGAGCTCAGTGGTTCTGCTGCCTGCCTCGCAAGCACAAGGACCCGAGTTCAATCCCAGGTACCAAAATAAAAAAAGAAAGAAAGAAAGAAAGAAAGAAAAACTTGTGCTTTTTTTTGCTGTTGTTCTAACAGTAATGACTACTTACTTAAGTGAGAGTTAGTGTTCCTTATAATTCCCAGGTTAAATCTAGATAACCAGACCATATACAAAGAATAAGATTTAGCTTTTACTGAAAAGAATATTTAAATTTTAAAACTACATATTATATAAGCATAACTATTGCAATACTTGGTATGAGTCACAAAAACTTAAATGTTTTTGATGAATAGATTATTTTTTTTCCGTACTGAAGATCAAACAGGAGTGCTGTACCACCAATTTAAAATTTTAATTTAACTTCATTTTGTAATCCTCTTGCCTCAGCCTCCCTAATAGCTGTGATTACAGCCTTGGCTGATAATCTTTATACATTTTCCTTTGTGCAGGGTAGGAGTAGTTCTTAGGAGTAAGAGGAAGTATGTAGCAGCTGCTATGTAGAAGTTTCAAAAAGAGAAGCTTTGGGTATCCTGAGGACAAGAAGACACACCTGGGTTAGAGGTGTATGGTCACCCCAGAACGAAAGAGGAGGGAAGATCTGAAGTTGGTGAAGGAGCTCGGAGGGTACCCCAGATATACTTGTTTTCTTTCATAGGAGGACTAGTGGCCTGGAGAGAAAAGAAGTCAGGATTCTGAAGTTTGAGGGATGCAGCAGGGCTAGGTTCTTTAAAGGAAGCAGCCAAAAGTATGTATGAGGGGCGATTTTATTCTGTGCATAGGCTCACAATAAGACCTAAGTTTACTTGAGCACCGTGTAATAATTTTTTCTTATTTATGGAATCATTGGTTTTGTGCTACCTTAGATGTAAATATATTTTTGGAAATTTAATGGCTTTCAAACCACTAGTTTATTTTTAACTCCTCAAATCTGCATTATTCAGTATGAGAGCCAGAACCACAGGTAATAATTTAAAATTAATTAAAATTAAATAAAATTTTAAAATTCAGTCCTTCAGTTATACTTGCCACATATCAAGTGTGGCCATTGGCCTCTGGCTACACATTTCTCTCCTTGAGACCACTCTTTCTACTTTTCACTCGAAATGTCATCTTCAGGTCTGCTTCAGCAATTATGATCAGTCCTCAGGTTGTGTCATGTTTCAAAACATTCTTCATTCCTCTGCATCTTTTTCTCTTTTGACTATCAACATACTAATTAACAAATTCTGAGCTATTTCAAAGCTGGATTAAACATTTACTTTTCTTTCTGTCTCTGTTTTTGAAATTAATATCTAAAATTCTCATTATACCATGTTGCTGACCCTGAGCAGAGTGATATTTTCTTTCTTACAAGATAAAAGATAAATTCTTTCTAGACTAGGGATTTAGCTCAGTGGCTCGGCACCTGCCTAGCAAGAGCAAGGTCCTGAATTCAATCCCAGTACAAAAAACAAAACAAAACATTCTTTCTGAGGTCAGTATTTAAAACCTATAATCCTTTAATAAACAACAAAAAACCTCACACCTTAAAAACCACAAAATTGCACAACTCAGAGATAATCTGCAGCAAAGAAGATATTGTTCTATTTGAGTTTTTTATTATGAACACAGCATGTATTTTACTGAACAAGCCTTTTTAAAGGATAAGTCCCTCTGCCCCCCAATCCTGTCTTTCTGCTCCAATTCTAACCTATTTTGCAGATGTATCCATGGTAAGATATATTCCCACTGACTCTAGAAACAGCCTGTGTTGAAATCCTGGTTCCATCACCTAGAGTTTCTGCAGTGTTCTTAATTTCTGCAGTGTTTCTGCTCCTAAATAATAACTTTCGTGAAAAAAATGAGGATACTGATTGTACTTCACAGGTTATAGCTAAGGATTGAGTTAATCTGTGTAACCTATTGGCTGGCATGTATGAGCATGCAGTCTGTGTTGGCTATAAAATGGTTTGTACCTTGGGAACTCCTTGCTCATTTCCTTTGTGCTTTTGTTGATGCGATTCTCTTGCTGCCCTGCTCTCCTTGTGCCCCTCCCTGTTTCCTGTGATTTGCATATTGTTTTTTTTCTTTTTTTTTGGTTTTTTGAGACAGGGTCTCACTATGTAGTTGAGACTGGCCTGGAACTCACTGTGTAGCCCAGGCTGGTCTCGAACTCACAGCGATCCTCCTGCCTCAGCCTCCTGAGTGCTGAGATTACAGGCGTGTGCCACCACACCCAGCCACCTATTGTTTCAAATTCAACTCAGTTGCCTCTCCTGTATTAGACTTTTCTAATTACTTTGATTTACATTAACTTCTGAATTCCTATAGGTCGTCCTCTTATTTAATAGTCATATTTCTATTTTTTTATGTTGTATTTCTGCCTTTTACGGTATTTCTTTTGAAATATTACATATATTAAAATGATTAGTGTAATTATCACAATCAAGATACAGAAGTTTCATTGCTCTCCCAAAAGACATATGCACTTTTTTTTTCTTTTTTGGTACTGGGATCAAACCCAGGACTTCTTCCATGTGGCACAAGTGCTCTACCACTGAGCTACATATTATTGGTATTTCTTTTAAGAAATACCAATCTTGAGGGTGCATTCTTGTTTTTATACCTAAAACGTTGGTCTTAAATCTAGTATCTGTTTCATATTAGTTCAGCTCCCACATATATAGTTTAGCTCAGTATTGAGTATGCAGTGAGTAGGTGCTTAGATATTTGAATTTTATAAAGCAAAGTCTAAAGCATGGTAAACTGGAACACATTGAGAAGCTGCTAGCCCGGTACAGTGTGCACCACTGTAATGCCAGCTACTTGGGAACCTGAGGCAGGAGGATTACGAGTTTAAAACCAGTCTGGGCAACATAGTGAAACCTTGTCTCCAACGCAAAACAAGACCAAAGCGGGGAGGGGCACAAAGAAGCTGCTATTTTAAGTTATTTAACTTTGGTATTTTGGGGTCTTTTTATTTAGGTGGAAGTTTTCAATTAATTATTCCTTTATAACTTGTTAAAGTGGTTTTGGAGGCCCACCAGGGCTAATAAAACTCACTTTTAATTTATCTTTGGATAAATTAAATTTGGAAAGCAAAGGTATTCTTTTCTTTCTGTTTTCATTGCCACATACTTAGGATTTCTATCTTTTTAGCTATTTGTTTTAATTCTAATGTGAAGCAAATTATGATAGCTATTTTACATTTGACTGTAGGACATTGAATTTATTTACAGATCTTTGCCTTTTTTCTTAAATGTATTAAAGGTATTAAACAGTTCAGTTAAATATGAATTAGTTATAGAATAGAAAGTGAAAAATCTTGGTTTTTTTTCAGATTTAATTTTCCATGGGTCAATTTTGCTGTCTTCTCTGAGTTTCTTTTATTGATTATCCCTAAAATCAGGTCAGTGCAAATAAGCGAATTTATTCTTGGATAAGCAAATGCTGCATGGTTTCCTCAGTTTTTAATCTTGAGTATTATGGAATATTTAGCCTTGTCCAGAAAGGGGAAAATATTTTTAAGATTTGCATTCCATTCAGTAGACTTTACTTCCTAAAGAAGTGAACGGAATTTAATTATGTGTGTCTTTTTTTTTTCCTACCCCAACAGCTTCCATGCCTATGGCTGTTCTAAATTTGGGCCAAATATATCCATTTCAGAGAGGCTTTTTCTGTAAAGACAACAGCATCCAGTATCCGTACCATGACAGTACCATCACATCCACTATCCTCACCATAGTGGGGCTGGGCTTACCCATTTCCTCTGTAAGTAAACTAATAAGTAGGTAGTGATGGGTTTGCTGTGCTGAAGGTTGGATGAAGTGATGGAGCTGGGTGGGGGTAAAGCCACCTCCTGTCTTCACCAGTGTTGATGTGATGAATGTTTGTTTGAGAAATATACTGTTTTAATCCATGGATGTTTTTCAATTTAAAGGTAGTTGTTACCCCAAACAGTTTGATATCATCCTGAAGAATTGTAAAGTGATTATGTTAGCATGGAAGGGTTCATCTAATTGTTTAGGTCTATCCCTCTCCCTGTACAAATGGAGAAACTTAGAACCAGATATTTGATCCAAATTCAGCAGGCTGTTTTATGGCAGAGCTGAAACTAATATTATGCTTGCTTTATCATACTATTAAATGGAAATTTATATCATGAAAAAAGAGATAGGTTTACTTTTTAAATTTGGAAAATAAATTCAGCGAAAGTATAAAGGCATGTATGCAAAATAAAATCTCAGAATATACTAAAACTGTTGCTATTTTTAAAATTGTGCTCTTTGTGTGTGTGTGTGTGTGTGTGTGTGTGTGTGCGCGCGTGTGTGCGTGCGTGCATGCGTGCATGCTGGAATTGATCCTAGTGACTGAGCTACATGTTATCCATTAAAATCTTTATCTTGTGACCTGTCTTTATCTTCTGCTAAGTTGTTCAGGCTAGCTTGGAAGGTTCAATCCTCCTGCCTTAGTCTCTGGAGTAGTTAATGAAGTTGTGTTGTTTTTTAGATGGTTCATCGGTTTGTAGGATAATGTTGTATTTCACTATTTTAGACAACTGGAAGCTTTTATTCTAAGTTAAGATTTATAAACTGGGTTAAGACTGCTGCTTGGGATATTGTGCCTACTTTTGTTATCCTTGGACACAATAATTACCCTTCTTCCCTTTTAGTATGGCATGGAAATAGAAAGGAAGGAGCAAGGCAAAGATTTACCTTCTTGAACTTCTTGGGAGTGCAGCAGATCAGATTTTATTTTTGAACTGCCTGCCTTTTGTCATTTGGCTTCCTTAGATATTTGACTTACACAATTTTAGTGTCTCACCAAAATTAAGCAGTCTTATCCCATAATAGGACTGGCTGGCTTTTCTTTCCCATTTTGACCCCAAATTGACTTAGAATTTACTTGATTTTCTAAAATATATGTTCATTTTTTTTTCTAGGAGATTTTTTTTTTCCTAATGGTCATCAGCACAGTATTCTGAAGGTGAAAGGGACTTGGATTTTATGTTCCAAAAGATATACAAGTATTTCTACTAATAATTCTAATTTGATTATAATCACTTTTTTGTGTGTGTGCCAGGAATTGAACTTGAGGATGTTGTGCTTGCCAGGAAGGCAAGTTAAATCTTCGGCCTGATAATCACTTTTATAGGAGTAAAAAGAAAACATCTGGGACTTAGTTTAAGGAGAGACTTAACTTTTTCCCTAAGAAATTCCTTTCACCATAACAATGGCAAAATCTATTTTGTTTTCAGTGTTAAGGAACATTGCATAGGGAAGCATGCGGGCACTCCCTCTTTGTGTTACTCTTGTTTGAATTTGTTGTAGCTATTATTTTGAGCAGCTGTTGGCAGATACGATAGTCTTGTAACTACTGTTCGATATTTGAGGGGGTAATTGCATGAGGCTCAAGAAGTTACTTTTAGTGATTTGACTTGGTAATTACATCTTTTTGTTAAAGTTTCATTATAAAGTGATACATACTCATGAATTAAATAAAACTTATGAAGTAGCAAGAAATAATTCTTGGTTCTAAGGACAAATTGTAACATTTTGTTGTTAAATCCTTTAGTGTGGCAGTTTTATAGCATAATCACACTACAAACTTCAGTTTTGTACCTTGTTTACTTATCTTTACAATAGATATTTAAAAAGTATTTATCAAAATAAATATCAAAATAACCATGGAGTTTGAATGAAGAGGAATAAGGCTAAATTATTTTATTAAATGTAGTGGTGAAGGACTTGGTATGAATTCTTGACTTCCTGTATTTGTTGGAGAGAACCGAACTGGAAAAATATTTTAGTGCAGATGTATTTATATTAAAAAGAAGTAGTAGTACTGAGTGAGTTTCTGGGTTTTAAACATGCTGATGTCTTGTGGACTAATATGAAATAATTCTGGCAAATTTCTAGGGTAATATTTTATGTAGTTAAAATTATTTTAATAGTTTATAACATCAGATATAAAAGAATTTTGGAAGGCTTTTTAATGAAATAAATTGTTTATGTTTGATATAATTTTATGTACACATATTTTATATGATAGCAAATAATATTTTGACTGATAGAGAAGTCTATATTTTAAAGTCGTGATTTATTTTTTACAACCTGAGGTCCATAATCTTTTTTTAAAATTTACTCTCTGCCACTTCTTCATTCACTGTCAGAAAAATGCCTAATTAAAAGATGATGGATTTCTGCCATTATTTGGCCTAAACTGTTTTCTTTTTGAATTTTAACGATCCATTTTGGACTTGATGCTCTTCTCCCACCCTTAGTCCTTGCAAACACATCCAAGTTTTTGGCTTTGTGTGGGTCTGTCTTCTCCTTCAGCATTTCCCTGAAGTATACTAATGGTTCTTTCTGAATGGTAGGGTTACTAATATATAGGATTTTCATTTTATTACTCTGTATGTTCTGTTTTTTCCCTGTGAATATATATTGCTTTTCAAACAAGGAAACCTAGTATGAATTTTAAAAAAGCCCTAGAAATTCTCATTTTCATTTGATGTACTTAAAATTTGTGTTAACTGTGTACCCATTTTTCACATAGTTGTGAGTGCTTAACTGTTACGTGTGGGTTTAGTTTTGTCTGTCTCTGAAAAAGTGCTCAAGGGAAGTCATTCTACATAATTATTCTAAAAATACAGAAATAGAAATAACCTCTTAAATTAAAATTTAGAATGAGGTACTTTTTTTTTTTTTTGTACCGGCATTGAACTCGGCTCCTTGCACTTGTGAGGCAGACGGTGGAACCACTGAGCCAAATCCCTGGCCACATAAATAAGGTATTTTAAATTATCCTTTTAAATTACCTTTTCAAAATGAAGTTGTTAGAATAACAAAAATGTCTGACTTTTACATACTTTTAAGCATTATATTTTTCTAGTGTTGATTATTCCTGTTTTTGCTATCAATATAATAAGTGTAAGAGGTTAAGTAGATAATTATACTTTTGAATTGCATAGTACAATTTGCAAGAAATGCTTTTCATTTTTGGTAGTATAATTACAAGTTAGCTTTTTAAAAGTCATTTCTATTCTCTATGAATACTTGAGGGGAGTAGAAATACAAGGTAGGGGCAAATCACTTTTTTTTTTGGTATTGGGGATCAAACTTGGGACCTTGCGCTTGTGAGGCAGGCCCACTGAGCTAAATATCCAGCCTGACAGAAGCTTTCTTTCTCTCATTAAATTTTTTCTACTCTTAAAAAAAAGAAGAAATGCAAGGTAAAGTTTTGGAGTTAAAATTGTAGAATATTGCATTTGCCAAGTTGAGGATTTGATAATGTTTGATAATTAAGGGAGATTACTATGAGTATATAGATTTTCTGAAGTTGTTTTTGGTATAAATTTTATTAGGGTGACTGTTTCCAAAATAGATAACTATGGTCTAATTTTGTTCATTTGAATAGCTTACATAGATGGTAATAAGTTTCTAGTCATGAGGAAGAAGGATATATATATATACACATACACACACACACACACACACACACACACACGCATATATGGAGGGGTACTGGGGATTGAACTCAGGACCTTGTGCTTGTGAGGCTGGTTGTGGCACCACTGAGCTAAATACCCAGCCCTAGAATAATGTATTCTTACAAGGTATAAAGTAATACAGAAGTAAAATGTTATTTATGGCAGAAGCAGCAAGGCATGCCCTGGAACCACTGAGCTAAATCCCCAGCCCTGTAAATCATTCTTGCTATCCATTTCCTGCACTGGTCCAGGAAGCTGGTATCCAAACCGTCTAAAGCCTACACTTGGATTTATACAGT